GCCCCCATGCCGTGTGGCCGAGGCGCTTTTACAGCAGCAGCCGACTGGAGACGTAACGTAACTCTTCATGTTGGCCTGGTGTTGGGCATATGGGAAAGCTTGATTTGGGGTCGTTGGTTATGCTCCAGACATGAGCGCCTTGTGCCGCAAGTGTTCGTTGATATCTCGGTGTTCCCTAGTAATGGTATGTTTTGGGGGGGGACTGTTCATTTCGACTGAGCGTTCACGACAATGGCTTTCTTTTTCCATGTATTGGCGTGTGCTGATCGCTGAATATCCCCGTTCGATTGTTATTTGCCTTCTGCTGCCACACACACACACCCCTGCCCGGCCCCCCTACCGCTTTCTGGTCCTGTCCCCCTCCTCCCCCTCCATACCCCTCCTCTGCCCGTGCATGTACTAACGTCCGATGTAACACCCAACCACCGCTTGTGCTGGCTCCAGTTGCTGATCGCCATCCTGGAGATAGACGAGGCTCACGCAGAGGCGGTGGTGAAGGTGGTGCCTTCCCTGGTGAGGCTCATGAGGAACCTGCTCAGCACCGGGTTCTCGTCGGAGTACGACGTGGCCGGCGTTACGGACCCTTTCCTACAGGTGGGTGCGGTATGTAGATGTGTCACATCACGCCATGTTTGATGTTGGCATCGCCACACCACAAGTCTCTTGCCCCGCCACTAGTTGTAGGGCTTTTGATGCACGCCGTTGTTGGCGTCGTCACACGAATCCCCGCCTAGTCTCGACTTTTTCGGGCTTGCGTTTTGGGTGCGAAATTTCGTCCGGCGGAATGGATACCCAGTCGTACAGACTGATACACCTGGCACGGAGTGTCGTTGTTGTCGTTAAACTACTTGATGCCAAGCTACCAGCATCCCACAAGGACTCCTCCCTCCACACTGGTCTACGCACACAGGAGCCCTCCCCCCTCCCCCCCCCCCCCCGCCCCCCTGCAGCGTCTGACGCGCCCGCCTTGAGTCTTGGATGTTTATGTTGAATCCATGACCCTTAGTCTTTGTCCTGCGCAAGATCGTTTTGAGTGTTAGTCGAGGCTTTATTCAGGTTGTTTTTCTTCTTTTTTCCCGTTCTTTCGCGGGACGTACCGTAGAATTTGGGGACTATTTTGGAGCTCTGCGGCCCTCGGTACGAAAAATATGGAAAACCCGCGAACACGCTGCTTGGAACTTGTCTCTTTTGGGTTCGAATCTCTACAAAATGTGGGATGTGGTCGGGGTCACGGACACACTGGAGCTTTCAATGTTAGAGGCCAACAACGACAACAACAACTAGCGAAGGCACGCATTGGGTTTTCTTCGAATTTCGCGTGGCGTTCGTGACGATATGTAGGTGCAAGTGTTGCGGCTGCTCCGGTTGCTGGGACAGTACAGCCAGGACGCTTCGGAAGAGGTCAACAGCGTCCTCTCTCAGGTACGTGGTAATTGCATGTTTTGCCGCCCGTGCTTTGGGGCGGGTAGAATTGGCTTGTTCGTTGCCCCTTTGGTTCGCTGCGCTTGTAAGCGGTAAAAGCACGTTGCCCGCACGTGCTCTCTGTTCGTAGCTTTGGCGAGGAATGATTGGCGTGATTGCCGACGTCTTTACTGTTATCTACCCTGTTCTTCTTATGGCCCCCCTGGTTGAGCCCTGTTGCTGGTTCTATCGCCCTTCTCGTTTTCCACTTCTGCTATGTTATTGTTGCTTCGTCACTTAAAATCAGCGCTCGTGCATGACATTAGCATTTCTGCCTGGTAGGAGCTATCTCCAATCGGCGGCCACACAGAAGATTTCCTCCCCCCGAGGCCCGCTACCCTGTGATTCTTGTCTTGGATCTTTAATGTCTTGTGCGTGTCGTGTTTCTATTTGCTCGGGCCTTCCCCTGCTGTTTCGCGCGATAAAAACAACAAATAAAACAAAAAAAAGGTGGCGACGACGACGGAAACGGCGAAAAACTCTGGGAACGCCATCCTCTACGAGTGTGTCCGAACCATCATGAAGCTGGAGAGCGAGAGCAGCCTGCGGTCCATGGCTGTCAACATTCTCGGCAGGCGAGTAGTCGGTTTACTGCCGTAAAGCAGGGTGGGTTTGGTGTGTTTTTTTTTTTCGTCTCACCTCATAGTACGACGTGCTGTGGGTGCTTTTTTTTCTTGCGCTGCTTTTTTGTGCTTTCGTTGTCGCTACGCACTGCTCTGTTTGTTTTCCGTACTGCTCCATGCACAGGTGGCTAGTATGCCTGAACTCCGCTTTTTCATTTTTTCTCGACGATTTTCGTTCTGGGGTGATGTATTGTACCATGTGCTAGCTTGCATTGTTTTGGGTTCTCACGTGGAGTTGTTCGTGTCACACCCATCTTTTGTAGGTGTTGTACCGTTTCGCGTTGGTTTGCTTCTTGCTACGGCGGCGGCAACGACCAATAAGTCCATGTTTTTCCTTGTCTACCGGTCAATCTGCGTATTTTAGTAACTTTTTCGTGATGGATTTCTTTCTCTCCCTCATGCCGCACGCTGCTGCTGGTACTGCCTGTTGCTTGTTTCTTCTTTTCGACAGGTTTCTTTTGCATCGTGACAACAACATGCGCTACGTGGCGCTGAGAACCCTTGGCAAGGTGGTGTCGCAGGACTTGGCCAGCGTCCAGAGGCATCGAGGGACAATCGTGGAATGCCTAAAGGTGTGTCTGCAGCGGTAACCATGTTTCATGCCAAAAAATACATTAACGCATGTATAGGAACGTTTTGGGTCGCCGCTGAGCGGTCCCTTGGGCCGTTGTGTTTGACATTCCAGGGATAAGAGGCTGCTCGTTGATCCCATGCAAGGGGGCTTTGCTATCGACGTCACTTCGATGTTTTCGCCTTGTATTCCGTGCGCTTTCGTCCGATCAAGTCTGGTGGGGCCCACGTTGCTGTCTAATCGCTTCGGTACGTGAGAGAAGCGCATATTGTGTTTGTGTACCTGCTCCCGTGATATTCATCGGTTCCGGTCTCCTCGGTTCCTTGTTTGGATTCTGATTGGCCTACGAAACCCGATGTTCCAATGCTTGTTTCCCACCGTTTCGCGTCGCCCCCCTGCCCCTCACTCCCCCCCCCCCTTTCCACTGTTGACCCGGCGATCTTTTGGTGGGCTCGTCGTATCGCTCGGCCCCCTCCCCAAGCCCTCTCCTCGGGCGGTCTGCTTGTTCTCAGTCCCCGATACGTCGGCCTGTGTCTGTTTGTTCCGAACCCCGCATTCGTTGGTCTGTGTCTGCTCTCAGCCCCCGATTTGTCGATCGACCTCTGCTTGTTCTCATTTCCATGTGCCGGTGCCTGCTCTCAGTCCCCGATTTGTCGATCGACCTCTGCTTGTTCTCAATTCCATGTGTCGGTGCCTGCTTGCCGCCAAATCTTCTTTCTTGCGCAGGATCCCGATCCGTCTATCCGGGTGAGGGCCCTGGACCTCATCTTCCAGCTGGTCAGCAGGAACAACGCCAGAGCCTTGGTGGCGGAGCTCCTGAATTACCTCGTAGTCGCGCCTTCGGATCAGAAGCGGGATACGTGCAGCAGAATTTTGCAGGTGGGATGGGATGGATGTGTGTGCTCGCAGCCGTGCATGCCGTAGTCGTTAGACCATCGACCTCGCATCCCCACAGAGCCGGGACGGAGCAATATGCCGGGTTTCATCCGGACCAGGCTAGATTAGCACGTGACCATGCGCCAAGCGCCGTGAGGTATTCGGCGAATCGCATGGCGGGTGCGCTGCATCCTGCTAAGGGGGGACGGGCGGGGTGTGAGAGGAAAAGGTACCTCCCGCCGGAGGGGTGGGGGGGTGGTGGGTTGTGTTGTGGGCCCGTGTTGTTCGTTTGTTTTTTATGTAGGGCTTTCTTGCTGCTGCTGCTGCTGCTGCTGCTGCTGCTGCTGCTGCTGCTGCTGCTGCTTCTGCTTCCGCTTCTGCTGCTGTTGTTGTCCATTTGTCGGCGTTTGTTTTTTGGGGACCGTGTCCATGAGGCGCTGGTGCTGCTGTGCTGCTGTGCTGCTAACGTGCGTGCGTACGTACGTGCGTGCGTACGTACGTGCGTGCGTACGTGCGTGCGTACCGCGAGCGCGGCCTCTGGCCTCGTTCAATAGGACGGATGCCGTATGTATTCTGCCGCCATGTTTTCTTGGCGTTTCGCCCTCCTCCCCCCGGCCCTATTTTGCGACACGTCGACTACCGCCGTTCCCTCGTGCCCGACACACGCACACATGCTGATTGGTCAGCCGGTTAGGGCGGTCGATGCTAATAAGAAACACACACGCACACACACACACACACACACACACACACACACACGACACGTCCCGATGGTCGTTCTTACGTTCTTACATGGCGATCGAAGGTGCTGGAGGACCACTCTCCTTCGGGTAGGTGGAGGGTGGACACGCTGCTGAGCATGCTTGGGATAGCGGGCGCGGAATGCGACCGCAGCATCCCGTCCGCCGCTGTGGTGTACGTGACGCAGAACGAGGATCTGCACGCTCACGCGGCCCACAAGACCTTCAGGATGATCAAGGTCAGAGGCGCGCGGGGGAGGGGGGGGCGTACTCAATTGTTGCTTGCCTTAGTCATTTGACCATTGACCTCGCATCCCTACAAAGCCGCGACGGAGCACGCCGGGTTTTCACCGGACCAGGCTATCACATCGCCAAGGGAGCGGGGGGCGGCAGTGTGCTCGTACATAGTCATGCATGCCGTAGTCGTTAGATCGTTGGTCTCGCATCCCTACAACGCCGGGGCGGAGAACGCCAGGTTTTTCACCGGACCAGGCCATCACATTAAGAAGGGGGGGAACCTTTTCGTGCTCGCGCGTTGCGTGGACTCTTTGTCTCGCGATTTTGGTTTCATTATGTGCACCACCAACGACGTTTATTTGATCGCCCCGAATCCAAGTTGAGCAGACGCCGAGAGTCATGCGAGTGAAACGGACCGACGACTCCATTTGAGCTCTTCCGTCCGCTGCTCGACGCTGCCACGTGTACGTAACGCTCGCGGCGTGTGCATGCACCAGTGGCGGCTGCGATACAAGAGAGAGGGTTGGACAAGCCGAATAGTCCTCTCACATCCAGCTTTAGGTTTATCCATGTGCTTTGTCCTATTGTGTATTTCTCATGGCCGTACTTTGCTGTCAACATCGTTTCTCTCTTGTGCTGTAGCCGCCACTGCCGTACTCGTAGTGCTTGTACGTATTTTTCGTGATTTGATCCGATCGGGAAAAGTATGTACAAGTCTAACCAACAACAGCTGCCCGCTCCGACAACAACCCGCCCATTTTTGTTTTCGGTGTCCAAAATCACCCACAGAGCGATCTCAGCCAGAAGGCGCTTACCCTTGCCGGGGTCTGGTTCGCGGGGGAGTACGGCGACCTCTTGCTGCGGCCTTGCGCCGCCCTTCCCGCGGAGGAGGGAGTGGAGGGAGAGGAAGGCGTCGACGGCGCGGCGGCCGTGTGGGTGCAGCCGGTCGTCAAGGACGACGATGACGACAAGG